CCCCCCCCCCCCCCCCCCCGTTTATTCAAATGCCCGCATGCATTTTCACAAACAGTAAAAATAATTATTCCAACAAAAAGTGCTGTTACTGCCAGTTGAACTCAGGCTGTACTCAATGGCCACCAACATGAGACTGAGTCAGCCTGACTGACACAGTGACAGAGTGGCGCTTACTACTCCCTCCCCAAACAAAACTATGTGCATATCCAGGATTCTAAATTCTAAACTTTAATATTTCTATTGGGGCCCGCTAGTTTTTGGTTTAAATTCAAACGTGCCTTTGGGCACATAAATGTTGGGAATGCCTGACTTAGAAGAACAAACGACAAGGATTAGGGGGGAGGTTCCTCCTGGTTTCATAACACGGGAAATAATGAAGTATATGCTGTCCATAATAGGATGGTGAAAGAAAGTTCTTACAACACAATAATGTGGAAAATATCCAATAAAGCCAATATGTTCACATTTTTATTAAAAACAAAGCATGTTTAAAGCACAGTATAACAACATATTAGAAGGGAAATAATGAAAAAAGTGGGGAGGGTGACTACCGCTATTGAAACGCTCTGTTATAGCATCCCAAGAATGCTAACTTGCAAGCTAAGTAGGTACAAAATGACTAGACACGACCCAGACATTCACATAGATGACAACATGCACAATTATATAAAATATAAGAGTTAAATAGGATTCTATCACCATTAGGAGTCATCATAATAGTAATACAAAGGCTGCAACTCTACTAGGAGTTGCTTCAACCTGGGGAAGATTCTAGTTGGTGTGCAAGCTGTCACAATTGTCTATTGCAAGGTTTCTTACAAATCCCAGAGGATGGCTATTAGCTAAGACTATTGGTCACATATGATACAGCATCTCCCATTTCTAGAAGAAGCGTGCATGTTGTCACTTTGTTAGTGATGGGCTCAAAATTCTACGACTTGTACTTAAAATAGAGTTCCTGACTGCTGAGTTTGGTTTAGTACCTGAGTAATCCTCTCTCAAAATGACCAGATAGAGCCACAAGAATTTTGCATTGATTAACATCAAAACAAATTTGAACCAAACATCAATTTATTTGTCCATATTGTTTGCTAAAGATAGTCTGTGTATCCACACTCGATAATGCATTAGTTTTTCTGACTCCATTATTAGAACACAAACTGGCTTACAGTTGCATACAAAGCCACTTGAGAGCCAACAGTAAGAAGTCAGTTAAGCAAGAGGCACTGATTTCAACCAAAACTTCAATTCCTATCAACACTTGCCCCGTGAGAAATGCTGTTCAGTATATGCAATCTACCATAATTACTAAAATAGATGTCATTTTCTTATAAAGAATGGCTTTGAATGATAGTCTACATAGATAAGCAGTCTGACATTTGTTCTTACCTTACTTCCACCTTCTTCGTTTGTCTCATGAAAGTGTTGCTTCAGAGCTTTTAATAATTTATCTGCCTGGAAAGAAAATATAAAATGTGACCCAAAGGTGACACTGAGCTGTTAAAAAGGTTGCATAAGCCTAACCAGCATTTAGCCAATTCAATAAAGCACTAAAACCAACCAAGTCCATCTCCATTTAGGAAAGCATATACTTACATTTTAATTAAATACATTAATCCCATTAGCAGGGATCCAGGTTTTCCATTTCCCACAGAAAAATGTGGAATTTTCCCCTTTCCTGGAAGAAAACGTGGTTCTCTCATTTTAATGGAGAAACCTGTGGATTTTGCAGTTTTGCAGAGCTCTGCAGGTTGGCACAGTACCAGCCTCAAGGGGCTCGGAGGAAGCAGGAGGAGGGCAGTCAGGCAGGGGGCGCCATGTGCACTTAAACCAGGGGTCGGCAAAATACGGCCTGCGGGCCGGATGCAGCCTGCCAAGCACTTCCCTCCAGCCCACAGAGCCCCTTCAAAACCCACGTAATGGCAGCTGCCTCTCTAAAAGCCTCCAGGGCGGCAGCACCTCAGGCTGTTAACCTGGATTCTGGTTGCGAGGCAACCAACCCTGACCTCAGCCTGACTCAGGTGGCCTCTCCCCGCCCCTGGCTCAGGCCATGTTTGCAGCTTGACAGGGGCAGGAGGGACTGAGCCAAAACCTGTGGCACCGGTGAGGGGAAACAGGGGAAACAGTGTCTGGGCCAAATTCTGCTTTGCTGCACAGCACTGGAAAGGGCCCTGCCTTGCAGGTAAGCGGCTGCTGGGCAGGCTTTCGTCGTGCCATGCCATGCCATGCCGCTCAGGCCATGCAGGGTTAGCGCTGGGGAGGGGAAGCAGCAGCTGGGCTGCAGCTCCAGCCCAGTCAGCACCAGGGAGGAGAGGAGGCAGCAGAGCTATGTGGTGCTTGGGACAGGATGAGCCTGGCCGGAGTAGCAGGGACTCAGCTTCACTTTCCCCCTGCCTGTGCCGGTCAGTCCCAAGCCGCACATGGCTCCACCGCTGCTTCTGCTGGCTGGTGCTGACCCAGCCAGGCTCCTCCTGTCCCCAGCAGCACACATGCTGCTCTGGATAAGACAGACCCAGCCAGGTCTGCACTGGCCAGGAAAGGTGGCATGCAGCAGAAGTCGACTTCCCACGTGCTGCTGGGGAACGGGAGGAGCCTGGCCAGGTCTGCACCGGCAGGCAGAAGTGGCCATGTTTATCCTTTTGATGCATAAAGCAAGTTAAGTTATTTATATTACGGTTGAATGTTTGTCATGTTGTTTTCGGGAGCGTTAAGTTAATCACTACTCATAATTAAAATCTGTTATAGTAGATGTTTGGCAGCAATGACAGGGCTAATTACTGAACATTTTTATTTTTCTTGCAACAATTAGAAGTTGTTTTCATCTTTATGTCTTTTCATGCCTAAAGACAAAAACACAGATCTCCAGAACTTTCTGAACAGCTGTGTTAGGGTCTGTGTTAAGAACAACAGTTATGGGGGCACTGAAAGATTTTTTGGGCCAATACCAATGGATGATTATTAACAAGCCGTATCTGACAATTCCAGTCCAACTGATGATATGCAGCCCAGCAGCTTGGAGAGCAACATCAGGCTGGTAAGTCTGTTGAGGAGGGAAGGGGTGTGGGGGGACAGTGGGGGAGAGAAGATTGAGACCCCCACAGTGAGGGTGGGAGTGGGGCTGGGGCAGAGATGAGCGGCTTGTCCAGGGGCCCAGAGGTAGTTCCCACTGCTGCACGTACTCCCGGGGAAGGTATGAGGGGCACGTGCCCCCCTGGATCTGTATGTGGGGTGAGGGCGGGCTGCCGCTGCACACGGTTTCTTCCTGGTGGGAGTGGGAGGAGAGGGGCTGGGTTGGGTCTGTGCTTGAGGTGGGCGGCAGCAGTGCTGGGATGGAGGGGGGGGAGGGGCTACAGCCACCCCAAAATTCACCATAGCCCCCTCCCGTGCCGCTGCCTGCCCCAAGTGCAGCCTCAGTCCAGCCCCCCACCCCCGGAAGAGCCCAGCACTTCTCACAGTCAGAGGGGCTCAGTGACAGCAGTTATGGGAAAACTTAACTACTTTCAAACGTGAGGAGGAACTGCCACTCAGGAACCTGCATCAGCTGTTATATTAAAACCATTACATCTGCCTGCTCCTATAGTGATACAAGTTAGCTACTGTAACTAACCCAAAACTTTAAATCAGATTTTTAAAAATTTAAATCAATTTTTTATTTGATCTTATTTATTTTTAAAATGCTTTTTTAAAAAAGATAAAGATAGTTTTAACTTAAGGTATGTTAGAGCTCAAAGATATCGCCATGAAATAGAGATTATAAATTCTAACTATATACTATTCGAGATAATGTATTCATATAACTTTTTTAGAAGTTTCATAAAACCACTCTACCCAATGGAACTCAGTGCTCAGTCTAGAAGACCCCATTAAGCATCTCTGTGATGCTTAGTTTCAGTTCTCAAACTGGATTTGTTTCCAGAGATAACATCCTTATTAACACCAGTACTGTATATGGAGATGAGAGATAACAGACCTGATTACCTACCCATCAGCCCTCTTGTCTCTGCAAGTTTGTGTACACAGAGTTAAGCCCTTACCTGTCTCTAAAAGTGCAAAGTTTCAAGAAGTTAAATGACTAGAGGATATCAAACAACAAAAGAATGCACTTTTTGTAGACAGCAATGATTAAATCTAGGGTTCCTGCCCACCAATTTAAATCAAATCTACCCTGACCCAGAATGAAAAGGGTTGAAAAGCATAGCAAAGCCCTTGCAATATGTGGCTACAGAAACATACAGATATAAATTATAATGTAGCAACATAACTCAGCACCATGTGATATTGATACAGCTGTTACATTCATCTATACCCAGGGTATATAGGTCTCTTTGGGATACTAAATCTTCAAACCAAAGTTACAACTGAGAAAAAAGTAGAGCTAAATAACCAAGTTCATTCATTTGATCGGAATAAGCTTATCTTTTTAAAAATGAATGTGCAAGTGGATATCCACTGCCTGCACTTTACAGTGGAAAATTGATACATACTGATCCTTTGACTGGATGTGTAAACAACAGCCAGAAAAACTTCAGCTTACAGAAAAATAGGTAAAAATGCACCAGAGGGAACATTTACAATAGTGTATCATGTATTAGTGATACTGTTATATTTATTTTTTATGCTGCCCTTTCCAGCAAAAGCTCAGGGCAGCTTACATAGAGAGAGCAGAGTAAATTATAAGCTTACAAAAAGAGAACACAGGACATTATAAAACAGGAAAGCAATAACAGAACAAAACAACTTAAAAAGGGAACTAGAATATCAACAGAGAGCCTTTAAACACCATCTCAGCCTAGCTTTAATATGCTAAATGCGTGTCCAAATAGGAAGGTATACAGAGCTTCTGAAAGTTCCAGAGTTGCCCTCCCATGCATTTTTGACAAGCAGACCTGATATGTTAATAGCAATTGCAGGAGGTAGCAGTTTCTGACCCCGCTCTGGTCTTACTATCATCTGCTGCAAAAAGTGTCCATTGCTCGAAGAAAAAAAAAAAAATCTTTTTGGGCCAGTGATACTCAACCCTTCCAGTCTTGTAGGCAGGATGAGCAGCATGGAGCCAGCTCCCCACACCCAACCCAGCTGCAGCCTGATACTGTGGGTTGGCTCTGTGTACCCAATCTGGCATATGGGGCCATGTCATCTAGCGCACGGGTCTCCCCATGGGTCTGGAAATTGCTGGCACTAGATTTATGACCCAGATACCTTGTTCTCAGTGTACCCAAACCCTCAGACTGACTACAACTTCTTCCATTTGGTAATAGGTAAATTTTATTGATACGCAGTGATAGCAGATAAGAATAATGAAGGCAAGGCAAACTAAATAACACCCACCTCCCAGCCCCAATTCTATATCTATGAATCCTACAGCTGTCACAGAGGAAAGGTATGTCTGGCTAGTATGCAAGATTCACCCTGTGGTTCTCTTGAATGTCAGATGTCAGCAGCCTGGAGGTCAAGGGCCAAGGCCCATCTCCACCAATGGGGTGGGTGAAATGGGCTAGTGGTGTGCCCTCTGTCCATGGTGGCCTCTGGTTCCCCGCTTAGGGATCCTTTGCTGCTCTGAAATCCCTCCTTTTTATTTTTTCTCCTCCTGATGACTTCATTTCCAGCTACCGTTGATTGGTTTTCCTACGGTTGTCATACTGTCCATGTTCTGTCCTGTCAGCATATTCCTCCATTTCCCCAAACCCATCACGTGCAAACATCTTAATTTGGTCAGTTACCCATGTCTTAACTGGGGCATGCCCCAGCCTCCCAATTTGGTTCTCCCACCAAAGCTGGAAATCGCAGGACTCTGCAGCTGATCACTGTAACCTGGCTCCAGTGCAGCAAGCCTATCTTACGTTATGGGACAGTGTTCAAATCTCCCAGCCGGTTTATGTCCACTTGTCTTAGACACAGTGGGTACATCTACATGAGATGCCATAAGCCTCTAAGCTACAGCGACATAGCAAGTGTCAGTGGGCATGAACTGTGACAGCGCTGCTACTGTGTAGTAGCAACAAGCTACTGCACAGTAGGGTCAGAAATGACCTGCGCAGTGCCAGGACTGCACAGTACCAGCACAGTAACAACTGCGTGGTTGGGCACACTTGTAGATATGCCCAGTGGCTGCCTTGAAGGAAGCTTGGTCACAAAACAGGCTTTTAGAAACCAATTAACCCTTGCTGTTTCCCTGGACCATTGCTCTAATACAGTATCTACAAGCTGATTCCTAAAAGCAAACCTTTAAATATCATTCTCTAGCCATCAGAAATTTAGTGATGGCAGAGTGCTGGCAGCATTAATTGCTACAGTTCCCAGAGCCAAAGCCCCAGCAATTAATGCTGCCACCATCCCCCTGCCAAATTTCTGCATCTGTGGGGCACCCGGTGAGTCAGATTATAGCTCCTCAGGCTGTAGGTCAAGTACCACTGCTCTAGCCTAGTGGTCCTGTCACTCCTTGTCCTGGTGAATGCAAACTGAAGTAATTCAGTTTCAGATCTTACATTTTTTTTCCTAAATGCAAAGTAATGTCTTGGCTTGTGCTGTTTGTTAGTATGTGAAGCTTTCAATGCTGTTATTTGGGAACTCTGATTTTACACATCACATACCTTTTCACCTTCAGATTTGTTCTTACAAAATTTCGGATACTCTGTTATGTTCAATGTTTGAAGTTTACAGAGGGTGGACAGTACTCTATCTGGACCGGATTACATCCTTTGCATGGTAGATAGTTGATTTTTGACAAATCAGTATTCCAGGAGTCCAAGTATGTTGTCCCAGATCCCAATCAGGGTTACATTTCTTATCAGGTTAGCCCTCACCAAATTGCCAGACTGACTCTTCACACTCACATCAGTCAAACTCTTTCATATAGACTTCACAGACTTTTACTTCAGATGGGACCTTAGAAGATCATCAAGTCTGACTCGCTGCCCTGGGGTGGAAAGATATATTCCTTTGCTTACATTCTATTTAAAAATATTTTTCATGTGTTTCCTGGAATAGTACTGTGAATATTTCTGTAATATTGCTCAAACTCCGTCTCAGTGAATTCAAAACTACTAAATGCTTTAGAATCAGCTAGATTTCTTTCTGAATTATGTTCAGAGAGTCTTCCTCTTCACTGGCACACCTGGCTTGTAAGAAAGAAACAGCAGGCTCAATGCCAGTGTTTCTTAAAGGTACAGTTCTCCACAGTGTAGTTATACTCTTAGTTTTCCCAAGTAGCAAAACTGAAAACTGACAATTTTTGTAGTGTTGCTTTCTTTATATAACAGGTAATCCAGAATAGCAGTACTCGACCTTTGGGTCCTTGAGACCACGAGTGGTATAGGGCTGATCTGTGGGCTAATCAGACCCTGCGTCCCAGGATCATGCCCATACACCCAGATCTGGACTGTGCCACCTCTGCCCAGCCCCACATACAAGGATCAGGTCCCCACATCATCCTTTCATCTAGCCCCACATGCCAAGATTGCCCCCCCCATGTGTCCAGTCTAGGACATAGGGCCACAGCCCACCAGGCTCCCCATGGACCCATAAGGAGCCCCACGGGCTGGATGGCAAGGCACCAGGAACCAAATATGGCCCATGAGCTGGAGCTTGAACATCCTAATCTAGAAAATCTAATTGTCCGTTCCGAGACCACCAATTCTATGGTCCCAATTGCAAATTTGGATAACATGGGAAAAACAAAGAACTTTAGCAAGATTTAAGCCAAGGACATCAAACAGTTCCAGCCCCACAGGGATCAGGCTCACAGACCAGCCGCACACACCAGAGCCAGGAAGCAGGGTTGGTCTGGTGCAGGCACCTCATGCACTTACCTTAAGCAGCATGCAGTGTCCCTGGGCCATGGCTCACAGAGCAGATATGGGGTACTTGCTGCATGAAGTGTCCCTGTCAAACTGGCCCTGTATACTGGCTCCAGCATGTAGGGTCAGTCTGTGGTCCTGATCCAAACTGGCCCCAGATATAGTGCACAGGCCCAGTCTGGAGGGGCACTGCAAGAAGCATGTGCCACAGATTGGCCCTGTGTGCTCTGCCTGCATTCAGTCCAGCCCCACACACCACATGCAGCACATGCTGGCCCTGGTCCAGGGTTCATGCTGAAAGCAAGCCCAGCATGGGGCACATACTGCATGTGGTGCCCATTCTGGACCAGCCCTACACACTGGCTGCAGCATACAGAGATGGTCTGTAGGTCCAATCCAGACCAGACCAGAGCCAGTGCCCAGAGCCAGTCTTCTGTGGGAGCTGCACGCAACATGTACCCAAGACTGACCCCCTGTGCTACATGAGGCACTGGGGCTAGTGTGCCACATGTGGTATATGGGGATTGGCCCAAGACCCACAGACCAGATCATAGAGCTCCACAGGTCAGATTCAGCCCACTGACTAAATCTTTGACACCCCTAATTTAAACAAAGACACTTTCAGGCGTGGGAGATGGCATGAGATGGAAAGTCTGATGGTTAATTGAGATGAGGGCTACAGCTTTATAACAAACTAGCCAATTACCCATCACAAATGATGGGGTGGGGGCGGGTAAGAGTCTGGGATGGTGTCCCACCACCTAATGCCCCATGCTGCCGCTGTTCTGCCTCTTGCAGGGAGCAGGGTGAGGGCCTTGGCCCCCCACCCTCTGTCTAGTACTCTGCTGGGCTTCAGAATCATGGCGGTGCTCCCCCATGCTTGGAGCACTCTGATTGGCTGTTTCTGTCAGCCAATCACAGAGCAAATAAAGTGTTACCGACAGACAGACTTGGGCTTTTATAATATTAGAATATTTGCCATCATAGTTATATCAATAGGAGGATGATGATATGTGAAAAACATTGCTGGCAAAAGCCAGGTGCATCTCTACCCTGCCTTCTGCCCAGCTTCAGGCTAATGGGGCTAACTGCCTCTCAGAAGTCATTGGCGCAGAAGCAGTTTTTCATTGTTCATTTTCAAGATTATTCGTTTGCTGGTATATCTTATTTTCATTTGGTCAGGGAATATTCCTTTGCTAAACCCACATACTGAGAATAATACCGATCTTAGCCAAACAGCCAAGAAGCAGCCTTTGACACTATGAAACTCAGTCACAGGAGCCACATAAGCAGTCGCTGTTGACTAGAGCCCTGTAAAATAACCCCCTTAGGTAAACTGCAACAAGTACACTCCAGTTCAAAATCAGTTTCAGTGAAGAGCCAGTATAGGTATCACTGGACTCGTACGTCTGTTCTGGCAAAGCTCTAACTGTAAACCTGCTCCCAGCCAGAGACTTATTCTCAAGGGACCATAGGTTACCACCATGAGATAGCAGAACACATGGTAGACATGCACATTAACTGCTTTAAAATTGCTTCACTAATTGTTCTGTCTAATAAATAAACAGTACTTCTGAGCAGCTTTGACTCCCTGTAAACAGCACTAATCACAGATTCCCAAAAAGAGGACAGGGCAGGGTGACACCATAGAGACTAAGTGATTCAGAGGCTTTTGTAGGAGGCATGGAAAATACTTAATAAGGTGGTAGGAATAGACTGTTGGATGCCAGTTGCGTCTTCTCAAACACAGACCACATCCCCACTGGACCAAACATCATGAATTAAAACATCTGGGGTTTATTCCCCTGTTCTTCCACCATCTTATACACCATCACCAGCTTACAGTACTTACATCAGGCAGATAAGGCAATTCCTAGGCAAAAGAATGAACAGACATCTAGCCCAGAAACTTAATGAAAGCCAGTGGCCAAACACCTCAGCCTCCTCTGACACCCCATGACTGGCCTGAGGAGCTCTTCTTAAAACAGCATTTTAAATTCCCACTTGAACATAATAATTGCAGCACAAGAAGTCAGTGGCAAGCAGGACTACCCCAGCCACCATCTCAAAGGGGACTGGGGTTTCTTATCCCATTACCTGAACTGGCTGCTTACTCTGGTGTCCCTTCAGCTAGGAGTGAGCTGCCTTCTTCATCTCCAGGGAGCCAATCCATCAGCTGCCAGCTTCTCTGGCAGCCCCCCTCTCCTCACCTTTCTATTTAAATACATCTTGCTTGTGCATCATGGAATAATACCCTGAACATTTCTGTAATATTGCTCAAACTCTTCTGCCTCAGCAAACTCAAAACTACTAAATGCTTTAGATTCAGCTAGATTTCTTTCTGAATTATGTTCAGAGTCTTCCTCTTCCCTGGCACACCTGGCTTGCAGATAGAAAGTACAGTAAGAAACAACAAATCCCAATAGGCCCAATGCCAGAGCTTCTTAAAGGTACAGTTCTCCAGTTTCAGGGATACAGGCTATAGCTGTATTGGTCTCTACACTGAAAAAAGGAATTATAACTCATGGCAGAGGTGAAGTCTTTTGTTAGACCAACTAGATATTTGCAAAAATAATTCTTTACTGAAACCTGAAAGCCGACACCCTGGCTTCTGCCTATTGTTCCCACTAAATCTGCATCTTCACAGAGCTCAACGCTGCCTCAGCACAAGAGAAATTCCTTGCCCAGGAAACCAGTCCACAACCACCCTCCTTTGAAAGATGAAATGTCATCACCAGAAAGAAACATAATTCATCCTGCTTGACTCCAGACAGCACCGAGGTAGAAATGGATTGTTCCAATTTTCACCTAAACCTAATTTGCCAAAATTAAGTATTCTAGCCAGGAGATCTTGCACCACCTTCTGCTCTCCTGTGAAATACGAATTTTCATTTCTGCCCCGGAGAAACTTTACAACCGTTTCCCTCTCCTATGTGAATAAAGACAGATCCTTGCAAATATCTAATAAAAGAGACCGCCTCTGCCACGAGTTCCGACCCCAGTTCGCCGTGTAGTTGCACCCTTAGCTTTCCTGCCGCCGCACCAGAGGGAGCCGCCTCTCGGGACTCGGCTCGAGGTGGCCCCGGGCTCCCGCTGCAAGGCACCGCCAGGGCGTGAAGACCGCAGCGCCCACCGGGGGCTGAGCACTGGGACCAGGCTCGATGCGGGACCGGGGGCAGCCCAGCCCCGTGCTGCCACCGCCCCGGCGCCTGCGAGGCAGGGACACCTCCCAGCTCCCCTCCCGGGGCCCCGCTCCCACCTTGAGGTTAGCGCGGAGCCCGGCAACCTTAGCCACCTGCTGCAGCTCGCAATACTTGAGCGACTCCAGCGGGCGCAGGGACAGCAGCTCCATAATGGCGGCGAGCCGGTCCGGGCCGCACTGAATAATCCCTGCGCCTTGTGTCAACCGTCCGCTTTGAATCTGGCGTTCAACCGGCCGTGCCCCGCCCCCCGTTCGAACTGGCGCTGTCCGGCCCTCCCATTGGCCGAGCTGTCACGAGAGGCGGGTGCCTCTGGCACCGCGCCAGCCAATGGGGCTCCGGCGGCGCGGGTTTGTTTTTTTTCGAACGGCCTGGACTGAAATCCCCGCCCAGCGTCACATCCTCGCGATATGATTGGACGGCAGGATGACGATATTAGAGGAGGACTCCCTGAGCCAAGCGGCGAGGACGTGGGGAGACAGTAGGAGAGAGAGAGAGAGGGAGGGGTGAGGAGAGAGATTGAGGTGCGTGGCCACCAATGGGAGCGCAGGGCTGGGAGGCAGGCACCCAATCGAGGGAGGGGAGATGCATTCGAGCGCGCGGCAGGAGCCGGCTGCGAGAAGATGGCGGTGCGGCGGCGACTGCAGCAGTTCTTCCAGGACCCTGAGATCGACGGCGCCATCATGGTGGAGCGGCCGGCGGCGGCCCCCGCGGACAGTGCGCGGCAAGCGGCGGCGGAGGCGAACACCGGGGCGGCGGCGCTGCGGCGGCGCCGGCTGCGGCCTCAGGACTGCGCCGTGTTCCAGTGCCGGGGCTGCCACGCCGTGCTGAGCGACTCGCTGCACCTGTGCGCGCAGGAGGAGAGGCGCCTCCACGTACTCGCCTGCTTCAGTGAGTGCTGGCGGGGCGGGGGCCCGGGCCCGGCCTGGAACTCATCGCCTGCCTCCCAGCGAAGCCCGGACTGTCCGGGGCACTGGGGCTGTGCTCGCGGTGGGGGCGCCGGGTTGAGCGCTCCGGGACAACGACACTGCCTCTGGGATCTCGCGGGCAGGCGGGCGCACCCGGCCTTGGGCCCGCTGTCGGGCTAGTGCTAGTTGTGCCCTGCTAGTTGAGTCTGTGGTCTTAGCTTTCCTATGCACCCTTCCCAGGCAGGCGCAGCTCCACTTCTCATTTCACCATCTCAAAGTCTGTCTCAGCTGCCCAGTGATTTATGCAGTGCAGTTATACAACAGCTGTGGGGGCTGGAAAGTCCTGCACATCTTTATCCTGGTCCAGGTTGCCTTGTATGTCCATGTCCTTTAGGCGTGGGGCACTTTTTTGCTCTGTTTCTTTAAAAACGGAGCTATCCAACTTCTCGATGCCATGGATTTTGTTGGCAAACAAGCCCCACTGGCCCCAGGAGGCTATTGGCTGCCTGGTATGGCTGCTCCCTGGGTGAGGATGTCAACCACTGGCTACTGTATTAAAAAAAGGTGATCACATCTGGAAGTGGCTCCAGCTGCTGTGCTATGTGTTGAACGCAATGCTGACAGCGTGTGAGAGGCATGCTTGGCCTGTCTGCTGGATTCACAAATTAGGTATCCCCAGTGGCTGTAGGCTTATGTTGGGTACCAGACTGGCACTTCTAGCATTGTGTAGTAGTAGACTTTTGGGCACCTCAGTAGGTGTGGAGAGGTTTTGTGGACTCTGCTCTTAGGCCTGGGCTTTTGAAGTGCATCTGAAGTCTTCTTGGATCTGGCCATAACTTTCTCCTAAATCAACAGATGTTAGAAACGTGGACATGGATCAGTATGTTTGCATTAAAACAAAGATTAAACAAATGTAAATCCTCCCAAGCCTAAATACAGGAAGTCCAGAACTCGGTTGTCTTAAGGGGAAATGGAAATTTTAATGAATGATTTGTGGTATATGACTCTGGATCTGTCTTTCTCAGAAGTTACAGAAGATGTTGTTCTAGAAGATTCATTAAGAGTTGGTATTGACGGGTCCCTCCTAGGATGGTAGGTATTTCAAATATTGTTTCTGGGTTTTGATACCAGTTTTCTGTTTGAAATGGTGACCAAGTAGAGCAGGTGGGGGTTATTGTGGTGCCTTTGACTTCAAACAAGTCATTTGGAGAAACGTTTCTAAAATCTCTAGCTTACTCTTGGACGGGCTCACAAAACTGACAAATACTTAGTTTGGTTTTGGACCTGCCTACTGTAGTCTCTTACTGAAAAAAGCTTTTGCAAATTTATAGCGTATGTTCCATTCCTTTCTTCCCCTTTCACATCCATCTAGACATTTGCTGTATTTGAGGTAGGGAGAACATTTGAACAATTCTAATATAATAAAAGCCTTTGTCTGTCTGTCTGTCTGTCTGTCTGTCTGTCTGTCTGTCACACTCCAGGCACGAGAGGGCATGCATCAATTGGCTGCAAGGGCCTGGAGGGTTACAGACAGGGAGCAAGGGAGCCGCCACACTGCTGTGGGCAACAACAGCCCGCAGGGGGTAGGTGGCAGGGAAGACGGTGGGGGGGAGGTTTCCAGTGGCAGCCCCCACACCCCCTCCGCTGCTGCCGCCACTGCCCAGCCCCAACAACAGCCAGCAGAAGGGGGAGGGGGAGAGGAGCGTGCACTGGGTGCCTGGGGCTGGACGTGGGGGTGCGTATGGAGGAGGAGCAGCAGCACCACAGGGCGCTGCATGGTAGTGCGCTGTCCCCACCTGCCTGCCCCCCGTCATTCATGACGGCCAATTTGCTAGTTGAAAAAAAAAACAGCCTCCCCCCCCCCCCCCCCCACGTCTGAGACCCAGAATTCCTTGCCCGCATTGTCACCATGGGGGGGGGGTGTGATGGGGAGAGGGAGACAGAGTATGTTTTGGTTCTGATATCTTTCCATGCTGAAAGTGAAAAACTATTTATGAATAAATTGGTATAAGCAAGTCTCTAGACCAGGGGTCAGCCCCCCCCAGCACGTGTGCCGAGCATGGCACGAGGCCATTTTGCTCAGAACGCCACATCAGCTCTGTACTGGTGTGTACACCCATGTGTCGGAGTGAGTGGTGGGGTGGGACCTGAGGCAGCGGAGCCTGGGTCTCTTCCCTGCTTCCAGCACAGAGGTGATAGAAGGGGTCCAGAGCCCACTGCAGCTGTTTGCAGCCATCCTGGCCTCTGGGCAGCTGCACTGGGCAGGCTGCAAACAGCTGTGCCAAGGCTCCACAGCTCCGGCATCAACTCCGTGCTGGCGGCGACTGCATGGGCACCTCGGGGCGGGCTGTGCTGCCTCACTGTCTGCTCTAAGGTGTGCATGCACTCACCGCCAGCATGGAGCTGTGGACCCCAGCACAGCTGTTTGCAGCTGCACAGGGTAGCAGGGCTGGGGGGCAGGGGCTTTGGCTGGGGGGCACAGGGTAGCAGGGCTGAGGGCAAGGGCTTTGGGGGGGACACAAAGCTAGGGGGCAGGGGCTTTGGGTGGGGGGGGCAAGGGGCAGAAACAGGGCATCCTGCCATGTACCCCTTGCCCTCACTTATCTTTTCTGGCATGCCAGCACTCCGGCACCTTGCAAGGCAGGCATTGTGGTATTTTTCAGCGCTCCAGCCAAAAAATGTTGCCTACCCCTACTCTAGACTATTAGTTCTCCGCCTTTTTAGACTCAAGGCAGCCCTCCATGACTGTTACGAATTTAGTAGTACCCCACTTCAAAACTAATTTATCACAGTTCTTACTTTCCTTGCAGAGGGGATGGCAGTGGGAATGGAGGTAGTGTCTTGGCCAGGGAGGGAGAAGTCAGGGTACATTTTCACCTTGTAGACCAGAGAGGGAGAGCCTGAGCCATGGGACCCTGGTTGAAAATCATTATTCTAGACAGCAGTGTTCCTGCACTACCAGTTCTGGAGTGAAAGGAAGGAAATAATTTCAAGTTATTCAAAGCTCTGCAGAAAGGGAGATGGTTGGCAAAGGCCTACATGTTCTATATACTTTTTTTATTAGATTTTATGGGGTAAGAAATTGAGCTCGACTTGGATTGCTGCTTTTAAAGATGGGTGGCATACATTTCTGTTGTCTACAAGCTTGGAGAGACTGCATAGGTTAAGTATGATATTTAATTCATATTTGGACAGCTTTTTTAAATGACAAGGACTAAGAAAAGTTGTATTCTGCAAAAGATGAGGGTGCTATTATAAGAAAGTTTCCTACCCAACATGAGAGAGTTGTTTTTCTGTTCGCTTGTTTTTTCTTAAGATACCTTGCACTGTTTTGCTGATACCCCTCAAGTCACATGTTTAATAACATTCTCTAAATTAGTTTTTTGGCAATGAATGTGTGTTTTGAAGTGGGAGGAAATGCACAGAATATTTAGCTAATTGGTTCAATTCATTTTTTTTACATGCTTTAATTTTCTCCTTATGTGTGGGCCTGTCTCTTCTCTTCATTTTAAGTCTTGTGAATAATCCAGAGGAAAATGAATTTAGTCAATGTATTTCACTTAGGCATACACCAATAGATTTTGGGGGCTGATATCATTAGCCAGTTTTTAAGGAGGTATATTGACCGGTACTGATCCAATTTCTGATAAAGCTGCATCCAGCTGGTAAATCTGTTGTGGTAGAAGGGAGGGAAGGGGCATGAAGCAGGGGATCAAATCAATGCCCCCTGTGGTGAGGGAGGGAGTAGGGGCAGGAGAGATGCTGCCCGGCAGGGTGGGGCATGGAATGGAGCCACAGTTCATCGGGGAGGGGGGGTGTGGCTCCCACTTGCATGCACCACAGGAGGTCATGGGGAGATGGGACGTGCCCCCAGATCTATGTAGGGTATTGTGGGCAGGCTGGGGCTGCGCTGGACTCTTCTTGGCAGGGGCTGGGCTCAGGGTGGGCAGCAGCAGCAGTTGGGGGGGGCTGCAGCCACCCTATATTTTACCATGGCGCCCCCTAGCAGTGCCGCTGCCTCCTGCCCGACTCAGCCCCAGCTCTTCCCAGTACATGGGTGGAGGCAGGGGTTGAGCCAGGGCTGCGCTGGGCAGGAGGCAGTGGCACTGCTAGGGGACGCTATGCCATAGTGTTTCAGGGGACTGTGGCAAAATTTGGGGTGGCTGCAGCCCCCCACCATAGCCCTCTTCCTAGCACCACTGCTGCCCAGCCCCTGCTGAAAAGAGCCTGGCACAGCCCCAGTTGCAGCCCACTGCCCCACCTGCAAAGATCTGGGGGGCACACACTCTTCCCCCCACAGCTCCAACCCCCGCCCTGCCTCGGCTGGGCATTGCTTCCCCCTACCTCTGCCCCACTCCCGCCGTCACCATGGGGAGTGTTGATCGGCATCCCCAACACCCCTTCCCTCCCCCTTCCCTTTCCACCACAACAGACTTATCAGCTGCACACAGATCTCCAAGCTGCTGAGCTGTGCTCCTCCCTGCCTGTGTGCTGCGCACACGCATGGGCATTTATTGGCCAGATTATCAGCCACGTTGGTATGATTTCCGATGCAGCCAATTCTAATACTGTAAAAGCCGTAGTCTGTCTGTAACACTTCATTCACAGATGTGCGGGGGGGGGCATGGGCCCAGAGAGTGGCAGCACCATGGGGCGCTGGGTCATGCCGCTCCCTCCCGCCAAAGGTGGCAGTGATGGAGGGAATGGCATTGGGGGTGGGGGAGGGCAGGGCTAGCAGTGCTGCTCGCCCCCACCCCCACCGAGGCAGCAGGGGGCCAAGGGGGGAGAAATGGGCCTGGACTTGATGCAGTATGAGGGGTAAGGGGGAGCAGGGGGAACAGTGCCACACAAGAAGCGGGGGTGGGGCTAGACACACTCGGTCCCTGCCCCCCTCCCCCTCCAAGAACGGGGCAGCTGTGGGGAGGATTGGAGCGGGCCCAGGCCAGACATAGTGGTGGAGAGAAGCGAGGAGCAGGCCTGGACCCAACCCAGTGGTGAGGGGAGGAGACGAGTGGGCCTAGGCTGGATGCAGTGGGGGGAGGGGAGGAGCAGGCCAGACATGGCAGAGAGGGGGAGAATGGGCATGGATCCCAAGCGGCGGGGAGAAGGTGGGGGACGGACATGGGGCTTCATCCCCGCCTGTCATTCTTGATGGGCAATTTGCTAGTTTTCTTTTATCGTTGCCAATCTGATATCAGACCAATGTATCGGTGCGCCTCTAACTTCAGTTTGGTATTCTGAAATTACTATTGTTTTAAAGGCTGGGTGTAATATTCTCATTTTAATCTTAATTGCAGGTTCCAAAATTTTTGAGTGGGGACTGCACTTACAATAGTGATGATTTTGTTGGATTAGATGTTATGTTTTTGAGGATCCATAGCCTTTGTGACCATTTCACTGATTGCATGCATGCCAAAGTAATATTACATGATTTGTTTAGCTGTCATAATCTAGTTCAGGATCCAGTGTCTTGCAACTAGCAAGCAATGCCCTTGCTAGCTTTGGAAATCTCTTATCCTAGTAAAACTTTTTCTTTTTTATCCTCTCTCCTTTCAGCACTTACAATGCGTTGTATTGTCGTTCATGTGGAGTCATCCTGGGCTTCAATCTTTATTCTAGCTCCAGTGACCTGGCTTATCTGCGAGGCTTCTTTTGTCTCTTCAAAGACTGCATCCTCTGGTTAGTGCACTCCAGTCTCACAGTTAATGGCTTTAACTCCCCCAAGTTTATTTTTAATTTCACATTAATTTGGAAGGGGGCAAGGGTAAATAATGCAAGTAAGCTACAGCAAACTGAGGCCACTTTTCTCCTGAGTGAAAGCATCCACACTGGGGGACAACAACATGCTTTTGTAATTTCTGCTCTTTGACCTCTTTCTTTTGACTTGTTTTTCAGTTACTACTTAACAACTAAAACCACAATAGATGGCTCGGAGATGACCTTTCCTGCTTTGAACCTAAAGAAAAAACTGTCAAAAGTAAAGTTTCTTCATGATTTTGTATACAAAGTGGGGATGAAATGCAAGCTGCATGCAATTATTTGAAGCAGTACTGAAAAATATGTTATACTGGAGACTGGTTTTTTGTGAACTAGTTCAGGGGTTCCTTCTGGCCCCTCAGGTTGGATCTGTGGAGTCACTGCCTAGATCCCACTTTGCCCTATCCAGCAGACAGTGCCATGCTATCCAGCCCACAGAGCTCCTCATAGGCTCCTGCCAAGGGATGTTGTCCAGGCCGCAGCAGGTCCCTTCACCCAGGTACAGGGGGCAGCCCAGGCCTTGGTGCATGCAGCTGGTCCCGCTGCTCCTAGGTGCACTGCAGGGCTGAGGCAGTGCAATGGCCAGACTTACTTCCTGGCAGTGGAAACTCCTTCCAGCTGTTGCTGCCAGTTTCTGCTGCCACTACCAAAACCATCCCAACTACCCAAGTACCCCAGTTCATGTGCCCTGTGTGCCCACCGCTGGGGGTGAGGGGCAGAGCGGGCAGGCAGGGTCTCCATGGAAACCAGCTTAGGACCTGTGTAGGCAGGCTGGGCAGATGGGATGGGGCTGGAAGCAGGACAGGCAGCCAGGGATTGGGATTGCAGAGCAGTGACAGTACATGGCCAGGGCCTGGGGCAGAGCCACAACCCAGTGCCCACATGTCCTTCTGGATGCTAGTTCTTGAAGCAGGGTGTGCAGGGAGCAGATCGCAGCTCTGCCCTGGGCTCTGGCCCTGCGCTATTATTGCCCCATGATCCCAATCCCCAGCCCCTGCTCCCCACCCACTTGCAGCCCCGTCCCGTTCACCCTGCCTACATGGATTCTAGCCAGTCTCCATAGAGACCCTGGGATCACAGAGCAGTGACAATGAGGGGCTGGGGCCAAGGCAGAGCTGTGGTCTGCTCCCTGCATGCCCCTGCCTGCAGAAATGGCACCTGTCACAGGGATGTGGGGGGAGAAGATCTGAGCTCTGCCCCAGCCCCACACTGTCACTGTCCCATGATCCTGGCCCCACAGACCCACCCACTCCTGGATGCTGCTTCCCACCTGCTCATGGCCCCAATCCCATCCACCCAACTGAGTGCAGGGGCCATGTAGGGAGCTATGATGAACTGTTATAGACGGGGGCGGGGGGCAGGGTGCTGACCTGGCCCACAACAGCTCACTGAAACTCCCCAAGTGGCCCTCTGGCCAAAATGCTTGCCCACCCCTGTTCTAGATGCCTGACTTGCCTAGGGGAGAGATGTCCTTGATTCATTGCTCTGTGTAAAAATTTTCCTTTGTATATTTTTTAGAAAGTGAGGAAGACAAGGCTTAAGTTCATTTCTATGCCTTCAGTACCCCAGAGCTGAAATACCACTCTGACCTTCTGAGTTACCTTTCAGTAAATTTCTTCTCCTCCCCTTTCTTTCCTTTTTCAGGGGGGAGAGGGAGGAGTGACATGAATTTTCTACTGTAGTCTCTCCTTTCCTAAATCAACACTGACTATTCCTTTCAGTTAAGAGCTTATTGATCCCTAGCCATATTCATAGCAGATTTGACCTTAGTGGTACAATGAGAGAGAGTGGCTCCAGGGGTATAGGTACTTACCATATCTGAACGGCAGCAATTTATGGCAATGAACCATGTGGCAATACATACAGTACTGAAGGGTAGGAAGTGATTCATCAACCATTGTCACTCAGATGCTAATCCGCTGTGGTCACATTGCTTCTGGGTTAGGAGGCAGCCTTTTTGCGGCAGCACAGTATGCATGAAGATGCTGCTGCTGGGGATGGTAAATTTCCTATGTAGCTGGGGTGACGATGGCATGAATATGCCACTGTTCTCTCTTGGTGGGCCATCCATACATGATCCTTCAAAGAACCATCATGTTTGTCTTTTAAGTTTTTTGCCCAAGGTAGTTTCAGACTTTTTGTATAAAATGAGTTTGACTCCTTGTTTCCTCTCCCCTGCTTCCCTTCCAAATACTCTGACTTGGATGAAAAAAACCTTTCCATCACATCTAATGTGAGTACCGTTTTATGTGTAGTACACTAGTGCATCTCCTGAAAGGGTGAGAAGACAACTTGTTTCCATCCAGAGATTGTCAAGGGGGTTCTCAGACTGTATAAGAGCTTGCTATGAATTTAACTAAAAAGGATTTTCTCAGTTATATTAGGCCACAGTCATCTTTGGCTTTCTGCTTATAATACAGCATTTTCCACATTTCCAGTGTGGGTGCTGTCCCTACACTTAACATTAGCTACTCCGTAGTTCAGGCTCAGACGGGGTGTCATTTTTTGCAAAGTTGGAGTCACTAGTTTAGGATGTCTCTTGCTATTTTCAGGCCATCTGCTAGTTGGTTGTTAGTTACCAAGAGTGGAATCCCTGTGGACAAGACATCTTGAAGAATCACAGCTAGTGTAAGGTTATTTTTCTCCCTTTTAATAATACTCACCTCTTCTTTTTCCATAGCTGAAGGAACAACTTGTGATTATCCATGTACGCCTAGAAATCCTGATAAGGAGACTAGAAGAACTGAATTGGCAGAACATGGCAGACAAGCAGGGATGCTCATCAAGGACAGCTTGCTTAAAGCCAGAGCGTGCGCGAATCAAGTCAAACAATTAATGCCATTTTACCGGACTGCTGGAGCCATTTGTGTACTAGTGCATGGTTATTTCATTGTAATGAAGAAAACAGTCTGAAATATGCCTGTGAATGTCAGGGAAAACTATCGTGTTACTTAGTCCCTGTGCAGAAAGAACTGATTCACTGGATCTTGCGCAGTGAGAAACTCATGGACTTGTGTCCATGTAGAACTTCAAGCTTTTGAAATACTACAGTTGATACTGTGGTTCTTCCTGAGTCTTAGCCACATCACAGAAAACAGCCTTTGAAAGCTGACTTTAGGGTCTTGAGACTGTTTGTTAGTTTAAAACATGAACAGCTGGTCCTATTCAAGATCTGCTGTTATAAAATGTATTTTGACAGGTGCCTAAAATTCTATACCACCTCTTCATGTAGATAAATAGCTCATAACAGTTGGGTGTTGGTCTAGATATTTCCTTGATAGTCTTGAATGGGTTCTGCTTCTCTTAAAGCACCTAAAATTTCATCAGACAGGGAAGGAG